TTCTTGGTCTAGACCCGAGACCCAATCCAAACCCATCGGTTCTCGATTCGGGTACCCGTTCGGGTATTTAACTTAAGAAGAACCGCTCGGTTCGATTTGGTCCGGTCCGGTTCGGGACTTTTGGACACCCCTAGCCCCAGTAGCGGTTTACCTGGCAGCAGGTACCCAATACCTGCATTCTTTTCTTATTGTATAAATATTCTTCATGGTTCTTTGCGTGTTTTTGTTAAGTCTTGCTGCATTATTTGTGAGCTTGCTTCATCTACTCTGCAATGAAACTCGCAAGCTTTTATTAGTGATTGATGTTAAACTTAGATTAATTGGTTTCCAGTTGTGCTATTATATAATTCTTGATATCTTCCTTATTTCAATAATAATATTTTCTTTTATTGTTATCCAAAATGAGAATGAAGAAAAATCAGCTATTGATCGAAAGCTGTATAACTTCAAGAATTTCTTTCTTCTGAGTTTCACGTGATCAAATTAATTTTGCTTCCTGGGTTGTCTTGACTTCAAATAAAATTATCATGATTCTTGAATGTATGTTCATCACTTCATGCAAAGTTGTAATGGCTTATTTCGCATTTTGGTAATCTGAACTATAAATAGTTCTACATCGCTGATTATCATTGGTATCTCATTAAACAGATTTTTAATGTCTACTAAATATTCACTTTCTTTCCCTATGTAGAGAGCATGGTTGTTGAAACTGTTAGCAGTAGAACTACATACTGCAGATATGATGAGTGCTCTTCATCGAGAAACTTGTCAAAATATTCTTGCTCAACTATTTGGGCAGAGCATTGCTGAATACAGAACTAACCAGGATGATTCTTTCCATGTTCCTCAAAACAACAGTGAAGTTGCCAGAATTGGTTCAATTGGCAAGATTAAGGTACCGGTTGTATCCACTATTTAGTTTTCAGCGAACACGTTGCTGGCAACTGTGAGAAAAAAAATGGAATTTCATTACACTGGGAATAATTCATGGAAACGTTTTCCTAAGGGAAATGGTTTCAAGTGAAGCTAATCTCCATTTAATTGGATGGGCATTCCAATCTTTTACGATCTCAAATTTATTTCTTTAATTCTTTATAAGAACATCAAGTTTGCAAACCCAATATTTAAAGTTGTTGACATTATGATTTTAACTCGTCATCTACAAAGACCAATTTGGTAAGATGCGGAAGCGTTGCTTCTTAATTTATGCTTAAAAATAAGTTTATCTTTTTATAAGATTACTTAGTTTTTCACCATCCTTCTGACAAACTTTTATTTTTTGCTCTTCCATGATCAGTGGTAACA